TCTTCTTCTTCTTCTTCTTCTTCTTCTTCTTCTTCTTCTTCTTCTTCTTCTTCTTCTTCTTAGCATTTGACCAACAAAGCAGGTACTTGAAAGTGCATTTACTCCCTAAAACTTTAGTGCCAACCCTCTGATTATTTCAGTACATATCATTGTTTCAAGAAAATGCACTAAATTTCAAGAACCTTCTTTCTTTGCGTGTATTATTTTTCTTCATCTCAGAGCTCTCATTTTATTTATTTTTTTCCGTCGGTTTCCACATTTCCTCTGCAGTTGTAGCTGAAATAACCCTGGGATAGAAATTTCGATTGGAAATGAAGGAGCTCAAGAAGGCCAGCAGGCCACGCACAAGCTAGCGCGGGATCTCTTATCAAATGGAATAAAGGGAAAAGGATTCAGCTGGCCCGGTCAGCCGAGAGAGAGAGAGAAAGGGGGGAAGGGGCAAACGAGAGAACGAAGGCGAGAGATGGTAAGACGGTGCAGGAGGGCTGCAAGAGAGAGGGAGACAGCGAGCGCGAGCGGTAAGATCCGAATGAGTCGGCACTTCTTGAGGATATTGTAGGCGGGTGCCTTACATGACAATGGCCAAGGAAAAGCGAAGGGAGGCGCTGATATTTTTTTTTTTTGTCCGAAAGCAGTAGCGGGCGCAGGAAAAGATTGCAGGAATAGGCGAAGGGGAAGGCAGGGAAGGGAAGTACCATGCCACGCCGGACCAGGAGCATGACCACAGCGATGCTCTGCTGACGCTCGGGACGCCCCTTTGTCTGCGTTGGTTCCTCTCTCTCTCTCTCTCTCTCTCTCTCTCTCTCTCTCTCTCTCTCTCTCTCTCTCTCGTATGCGTTCGCGTGTGTGGCACGGTCCCCCGCTGTGGCCTTCCCCGATGCTATCTGGCAGCGGGAGGCGGCGCTGTGGTAGGCGTTGTCCGTCCCGTTCGCACCCCAATCTCGCACCGCCCCTCACTCTAGACCTAATTCGACCACATCTCAGATCATCCCACACACCTTTAGTCCTTCCCTAGAAATAGTCTACTCGCGTGTGGCGAGCGAGCCAGACGGCTGCAGCCTCGAAACTCTGGAAGGTTTTCGAACAGAAATAAAAGTCTGGGTTATGATAAGCAGCGACCGGTGTGTGATTGTGAAAAATACAAAAACACAAAATCGAATAGATGTTGGTGAGACGTCTCCTTGCAAACTTGAATAACAAAACTATATCATTAACGCGATTTCCTAACGAAAATTTAATACAGACACTAGTATTTTGAAGACATGTAGTACAATTTTTTTAAATCTTTCTGTGAATGTTTTGACGGTTCCAGTCAAGCCATGAGCTCTTAAAACTGTGGAGAAATTTTTAAGTTCAACACTATTACCACTATGTATACTGGTTGTAAAGGGAGGATTCATACTATTTGCGAGACGGTTTGACCTTTGAATCGACATGTGTTTTTTTCCTTCGAATGTTACTGCAGTAACCATGACCATGGTCTTTGTATTGTCGATAGTTTATTGAATAACCCCTTGCAACTAACGCTATGTTTTAGAACGGCACTAGGGCACTGTTAACGCCGTGGTCGCCTAGCTTGCCAAAATGTTGGCAGTCCCTTTTGATTGCCAATTTTGGCTTCTTTTTGAAAGAAGGCCAACTTTTGGCAAGCAATTAGGCCTGAAATTGGCAGCCCAAAAAGACGACCAAACATTGGCAAGCAAAAAGGCCAAAAATTAGCAGCCTCCAAAAGACGACCAAAATTTGGCAATCAAAAAGGCCTGCCAACATTTTGGCGATCACGGCGTTAACAGTGGGGGCAGAGGGTTCGGGCCCCACCTATTATTTGTAGAGTACAGAATCTCAGTATCCGCAGCGTGCGGGTTCGATAACCACGGCTGGAACGTGTTCGGTTCTGTTTTGGGGCCGCAGCCGGCGGGGGCTGGGACGGCGGGGTGTGCAGGGCCGGGCTCGGCCAGTCTGCGCCGGTCAGTCGGGTATGACTGGAATTTGACGCCGAGACGGGCGGCTGGCCGCCCCGCACGGCCCGTGACGTGCCGCTGGCGCTCGGGGCCGGGGTGGGCCGGGGCTTCTGCGCGGGGACCCCGCTCCGGGCCCCCGGGTACAGTACCTAGGCGGGCATCATTTTAGCACCCGGAGATGCGAATCTAAGAATCCACGACGACGGCTGCGATTACGCGTAGAGCAAAGTCTCTCTCTTCCGCAGTAGGCTTCTCTCAACGCTTCCTGCTTCAACCTCCTCTCTCGCCTTTCCTCATTTCTCTCTCTCTCTCTCTCTCTCTCTCTCTCTCTCTCTCTCTCTCTCTCTCTCTCCAACCCTCTCTCTCTTTCCTACCCTCTCTTCTCTCTCCCTAACCTCCCCTCTTCCACACGGAGGCGCGTCATCTTGCGGGAAGTACCTTGAACTAAAAACGTGACCTGTGAGATTCCACCCAAAGTTGGAGTGTTTACAAACGACCGGGAGGTGCAGAAAACTTGACGCAACCGACCGGGAAGGGGGACGCCAAGGGTGAAGGGGTGAGGGGGAGCGTGCCGGAGCAGGGTGAGGATGACAACAGGCTTCACCCGGCAGGTGCGATGAGAAATCACGAGAAGCCGAAGAGCCCCCTTGTGGGGGTGGCCGCGCCATCGACCACAAAGTACATAAGTACTATGTACTGAGACAGACTACTGTGCTACGTGTGCAACAGCTCGGGGAACCTGCTCGCATCCGAATCCGATGTTAGAGACCGTGAAGAACGAGGCGAAGAACCACGTCTTGCTGTCTGCCGTCGCCTTCTCGGTAGGCCACCCATCATACATAGCGGCCAGCGGGTCGCAAGCCGCAGCGGCGCCGGCTGATGCCCCGCCGTGGGGCTGGCGCGTGTGCCGTGTGCCGGCTGCAGTCACCTCGGCAGTCACACCACCTCCACCGCTGCCGCTACCGCTGCCTCCACATCCTCCTCCGCCGCACTGCATCTTTTATTAAAATTTTTCTCATTTTTCACAGCGCTGGTCCCGTTCATACGGTGCCGATCTCAAATTTAGAATCGTATTCATATGTAAGGGGCCCTCGCGCGGCGTGGCGTGCCGAGGTGGCTCCGTGCCGCAGCAGGGGCGGGGACCGGCGGGGACCCGCCAGCTGACGGCAGTCGTGGTCTCTCTCTCTCTCTTTCTCTCCTCCGGTTGGGAAAACTTAGCTCTCAGATTCCTACGCGAGTGAAATATATTTGTTTTCTTGTCGATTTTTCTTTTCCAATATTTCAGTCTTTCGCGCGGTGCCCTTTTCTCGTGCTTGCATATGAAGAAAAAAGTCAGTTACGTTTTTGTTTTTGAAAAAGGAAAAGGGACGAGGAATTGTGAGCCCTATGTGTTTCCAGAGTGTGTAGTGTTCAAACATTATTTATTATTCTTACAGTATTAATATGTTTTTGTCTCTCCTCTCGTGCGTTCATAACGGATGACCTTTGGAGGCTCGCCCAGTGCAAAAAAAAATATCTGGAATAAATATGACACTGGTAAAACAAGTATGCAAAATTTGCACGCCATTGTGAGCTGGTTATGATTTTGAACATTATACATGGTGTCTAAGTTGCACTTCCGTGATAAATTTTAGATGTTTTGTAAACGTCTAAATTTTCACAC